GGCGGCGGCCTGCGAACCACTCGTTCGCCGTCATCATCCTTCAGCAGGGCGGATGCGCTGCCGACGCTAGGCGAGAGCACCACCACCACGATGTCCTCATCCTCTTCACCCTCGGCCACCTTTACCGTCAAGCAGAAGCGAGTCAAGTTTGTCGACGGTGATGGCGGCAGTGACAATGTCTCCAGCGGTGGTGCTGACAGCAACAACAACAAATCGTCAAAAGCAGCCGCCGCCTACAATGTGGAGTTGAAAAGCCCAAGGGAGACCGAGCCGGTCAATGTGGAGTTCACCATATCGATGAAGAAGCCGCGGGCCTCGGTGTCGGAGGGCGCCAGTTCAAGAGGAGGCGGCGGCGGTGGCACCAGCGAGGACTACCAGAGTCGCATCAAGGAGCTCAGTCAGGAGCTGAGCAAGGCCAAAGAGAAGATTGATGTGCTGGAGGCGAAGAACAAGGAGGTGGAGAGTATGGTAAGTGTGGAGTTCTTGGTCTTAACCTTTCTTTAAAATGCGTATTTCTTTTAGCGGAAGAGCTTCAGCAAGGCGGAGGGCGGTCGCGAGTCGATCAAGGCCAACTTTGATGAGAATGCAAAGTTGAAGGCGAAAATCGACGACCTCGAGGCGACGGTTCGCACGCTGAAGGCGGACAAGCAACGGCAGACAAAGACAACTCAATCCGATTCAGCCCAAGTCGCCGAGCTGCGCGCCAAGCTGGAGAAGTCTGAGAAACTGGTCAGTCAGCTGACGGCGGAGAATGAGGACATCAAGAAGGACGTCAAGTCGCTGGAGGTGGAGTTCCAGGAGCTGCACGACAACTTTCGCGAGGACCACACCTCGGAGTTTCGCGTGGTGAAACGCGAGCTGGAGGCGATGTCGAAGAACTGCCGGGTGATGCAATTTAAGCTGAAGAAGGCGGAGCGGACGATTGAGCAGCTGGAGAATGAGAAGATCGACCTGACGAAGAACGTCAGCGAGCTGTACGAGACGGCGAAGATGGACGTGGACAAGCGGCGGATGAAGGAGCTGGAGAATGAGCTGGCCATTGCGAAGGAGGTCTCGCTGAAGTTGCACGCGGAGATTGAGACGCTGAAGGAGGAGCGAATGATTGCCGTGGAGCAGATGCAGGAGCTGCAGCGGCAGCAAAGCAACCAAAGTGGACAACAGCGTCCCAACCACAACAACAGCGGCGGTGTTCAGCGACTGTCCTCGACGACGGCGGCGAAGCTCTCGCCGACGCCCTCCTTCGACCAGACGACGAAGGACTACGAGCAGGTGGTGCGCGACCTCTACGACTGCATGGAGCGGGAGAAGGACCTGCAGGAGCAGCTGAGGTTCGCCGAGGAGGAGACGCGGACGACGCGGAAGAAGCTCTCCACCATGGAGCAGGAGAATGAGATACTGATGATGCAGATTCGGAAGATGGCCAGCACAAAGAACGCCAAAGGTAGGTTTTGATGAGTTTGTTTGTTTACATTTACCCAACAAAACTTTTCCTCATTTTTTGCAGTGGGCGAAGACGACGACAGCGATGAGCTCAATCCGGAGGAGCTGAAACTGCACCTGGAGCTGTACGAGCAGGAGATGGTGGTGCTGCGGCGGAAGTGCGACGAGCTGGAGCAGGAGAATGACAACTTCACGCAGGAGATCAAGTACCTGCAGGAGAAGCTGGTGTCACAGCCGACGCTGGCGCGGGTGGAGATGCCGGAGCTGCCGGCCGGGTCGCCGCCGAACGTCATCTACGAGCATAAGATTCGGTTGCTAGAGGCTGAGACGAGGGAGCTGCGGAAGAAGCTGGTGGACAAGGAGAAGGAGAATGAGAGCTTGAGGACGGAGGTGGAGCTCCATCGGCGAAGGGCCTCCAAGGTGATCACCCGCAGTCGCAGTCTGGACAATGAGGGCCAGTCGCTGGACATGAAGAAGCAGCTGGCGCTTTTCGAGCAGGAGGCGGCCATCCTCCGCCAGAAGCTGATGGCCCTCGAGGCGGACAATGAGAAGCTGGTGGGGGAGAACAAGCGGCTGCAGCTGCGCATCAGCAAGAAGCCGCCGCCGGGCCCCGCCGACCAGTTGCAGCTGGAGAACTTGGAGCTGAAGGAGAGGGTGAAGGAGTACGAGCGGAAGTGTGACTCGCTGAAGACCGATCTAATGAATGCGAAGCTCAATGAGACCACCGAGACGGAGACGGACTTTATAGCGAATCTGAAGAAGCAGTTGAGGGCGAAGGAGGCCGACCTGGCCAGCCTCAGTACGAAGGCGGCAGAGGCGGACGTGGAGTGTGCTCGGCTGAACCGAGAGTACAAGAAGCTGAAGGACTCGCTGGTGCCAAGGTAGACACTTGATTTTGTAATCCTTACTTTTACATTTTACATTTCCCTTTCTACCTATTTAGACGAAGAGTGAGTCGGGTGATTCGCGAGACGGCGACGCGCATGGAGCTGAAGGAGATCATCAAGGAGATGGAGGACGAGGTGGCGGAGCTGCAGACGATCAATCGCGGCCGCGATTCGGTGATTGAAAATCTCACAGAGGAGATCTCCGAGCTGAAGAGGGAGTACCAGGAGCTGGAGGTTCGGGCGAAGAACGGATCAGCCGGAAACGGGGCCTCTGATGAAAGCAGCAGCAAGGTAGAGGAGCTTCGGAAGAAGCTGCAGGATGAGCAGCACCGCGTGAAGAGCCTGGAGGCGCGGCTGGAGGCGCTGAGCCGGGAGAAGAACGTCGACCTCTCGCTGATGGACAGCCTGGAGGTGCTGCAGGGCGAGAAGAAGGAGATGGCCATTCGGCTGGAGGAGCTCACCGGGGAGCTGGAGAAGGCGAAGAGGAGGACGAAGGACCTCAGCGGAAAGTTGGACGTGCACACGCGGAATAAGGACGACCTGGCGGGGATGAATGTGAAGCTGAGGGACAATCTGGAGAAGGTGGAAGATGAGTTGGAGGAACTGGCGGGGAAGTTGAAGGCCAGTGAGGCGGGCGGCGCCGAGCTGAAGAAGAAGTGTGAGGAGATGAGGAGGGAGTTGGAACGGGTGGCCAACCTCAACGTGCAGCTGAAGAAGGAGGTAAGAGGGGGTGTTTGCTAAATTTAATTTCACTTAAACTTTCTTCTTTTTAGAGCGACGAACAGCGCAGCAAGCTGGCGGCCATCAACTCTCGCTCAGGAGGCGTCAGCGAGCAGTCGGCGCTGCTGCAGAAGGAGGCGGCCGATCTGAAGCGGAAGCTGGAAGAATCCCGTCGATCGGTGGAGGCCCTGCAGCGACAGGCCGACGCGGCAAAGGGCGAGCTGAAGGAGCGCGAGGCAAAGTGGAAGGAGGAGCTGAAGGAGCAGCTGGAGGCGACGTCGAAGAAGGTCCGCCGGGAGGTGCACCTGGAGCTGCAGACGCTGCGCGAGGAGAGCACCACCTACCGGAACCGCTGTCAGGAGCTGGTGGGGCGGCTGGACCAGGCGGAGCGGGAGGTGAAGGAGGCGGCGGAGAAGCTGAAGGCGAACGTGGCGGCGATGCGGAAGGAGCGGGAGGAGCTGACGGATCGGATTCATTCGCTGGAGAGTGCGGCGAAGGGCGAGCAGCGGAAGAGGGAGAAGTTGGAGCGGGAGGTGGAGAGTGCCACCAGAGGGAAGGAGGAGGAGCTGCTGCAGGCGCAGGACCGGCTGGTGACGATGGAGCGGGAGGCGAGGCGGCTGACGGCCCGGTTGGAGGACGTCGAGTACGAGTACCAGGGGAAGGTGGCGGTGGCGGAGAGGGAGGCGGCGAAGCTGCGGGCCGACTACGAGGAGCTGACCGGGAAGTACGACCTCCTGGAGAAGGACTTTGTGGCGTTGAAGTCGAGGGCGGTGGCGGAGAAGGAGACGCTGGTGGAGACGGTGGGCGCGTTGAAGAGGAGCTATGAGGAGAAGATGGCGGAGATTCGGTCGCTGAAGGAGGCGTCGATGAGGTGAGTGTTGCTGAAGATTTTTTATTTTTTTAATCATAACTTTTCCCCCTCTTCTAGCCACCAGAAGGAGTGGTTCAAGGAGAAACTGCACTACCAGGAGCGGATCGCCGCCTTTGAGGCGAAGGCGAACAAGGCGAAACTGGTGGAGGAGGAGCGCGACCGCCTCAAAGTCCTCGTCGCCGACAAGGAGAATCTGCTCAACTCCTACCGGAAGGAGGAGCGGGCGCACAATGAGGAGCGGGAGCGGAATCGGGTGCGCACTGATGAGCTCACTGGGCGTCTGGCGGAGCTGGAGCGCGTGGAGCGGAACACCCGTTTCCTCAGTATCACCGGAAGGGCGCAAGTGGACAAGGAGCTGGCGGACTATCGCATCCGCCTGGAGCACTCGGAGACGTCGCACAAAGGCGAGCTGGCGGCGCTGCACGCCGAATATGAGGGCCGGATGCGGCTGCTGGGCGACGAGGTGGAGCACATGCAGCGGCAGATTGCCGGGCTGGCGCTGGAGCGCGACCAGCTGAGGGACTCGCTGGAGAAGACGACCCGGGAGATGGTCAGCAGGGGGACGNCTGCTGGGCGACGAGGTGGAGCACATGCAGCGGCAGATTGCCGGGCTGGCTCTGGAGCGCGACCAGCTGAGGGACTCGCTGGAGAAGACGACCCGGGAGATGGTCAGCAGGGGGACGATGCGGGGCACGTTGAAGGACGAGGTGGAGGACCTGGGGGCGCAGCTGAGGACGCTCAGATCGGATCTGGAGGGGGCCTTGCTGGAGAATCGGAATCTGAAGATTCAACACGGGACGGAGAGGAGTAGCTGGGCAATACAGGTGGCGGAGTATAAGACACAGGTAGGAGGGGGAGGAGATTGATAAGATCTTATCAGCATTTCTAACACACAACTTCTTTAACCCGTTTAGATAAACCAACTGGAGGAGCGGATTTTGCTAGAGACGCGCGGAACGACCCGGAACTACGCCCGCACCAAGATGGAGTTGGCCTGGGAGAAGGAGCGCACGGAAAATCACCGGCTGCTGCAGGAGACGCAGCGCTTCATTCAGGAGCTGCGGGACAAGCTGGTGGGCACGGAAGCTCTGAGGGAGAAGGAACGGGAGGAGGCGCGGAAGCAGCTGATGGAGTTGAAGACGGGCATGGACCGGGAGCAGGGCGGGACGCAGGCGAAGATTGCCGAGCTGCACTTTGACCTGCTGGCGCTGAAGGAGGCCCATGTGCGGCTGAAGTCGCAGAATGAACGGCTGAGGCGGGAGCGGGCGACGCTGGAGAAGAGCAAGGTGGACTTTGTCGGGGAGGAGCTGGCCGCACTGCAGAAGGTGCTCGATTCGAAGGCGGCGAAGAGCCTGGCGGGGAAGGAGGTGGCCGGGGAGGTGGCCGCCCTGCAGAAGAAGCTGAGCACTCGGCTGGAGGAGCTGATTGCGGAGGCTTCGGCAAGGGGCGTTTCCTCTTCTGATCTGAGCATCGCCTCGAGGGTGAATGGTCGAGGAGGAGGAGGAGGCACTTCCGGTTCGCTGACGNCTGGCGCTGAAGGAGGCCCATGTGCGGCTGAAGTCGCAGAATGAACGGCTCAGGCGGGAGCGGGCGACGCTGGAGAAGAGCAAGGTGGACTTTGTGGGCGAGGAGCTGGCCGCCCTGCAGAAGGTGCTCGATTCGAAGGCGGCGAAGAGCCTGGCGGGGAAGGAGGTGGCCGGAGAGGTGGCCGCCCTGCAGAAGAAGCTGAGCACTCGGTTGGAGGAGCTGATTGCAGAAGCCTCGGCGAGGGGCGTCTCCTCCTCGGACCTGAGCATCGCCTCGAGGGTGAATGGTCGAGGAGGTGGCACTTCCGGTTCGTTGACCTCCATCAACTCGACGACGCTGCCGCCGCCCAGTGCGGTGAAGCGGGCGCCGCCGAGGACGAAGAGTCTGGGGAAGAAGAGCCTCTCGCTGGACCAGCAGCTGGGAAGAGCGTCCATTGAGCGGCAGATCTGGGGAACCGGAGGTGCTGACTCGGATGCAAACACCAGTTTGAACACGACGCCCAATTCTTCGGTGAGCAATCTTCGCTTTGGAGGAGCTGGAGGAGTTCGGTACGGCTACGCGGGCTACGATTCAGACTCCTCGGGTTCCTCCTTCTTTGGTCCTGGTGGACAACTGCGTCTGAAGAGTGGTGGCACTTTTGCAAAAGAAGGCTCATTCGCCGGTGGAAGCGAGTCGGACACCAGCGCCGCTTCGGGAGTTCCAGGAGGAAAAACGAAAACTTCACTGAAAGAGAAGTTTAGGATTCGCCGGTCCTCGAAGACCTCCGATCCTGGAACGACTGGAGGGGCGGTTACAGACACCGAGGACAAGCAGACAAAGCTGCTGAAGCAGAAGCTCACTCTGGCCGGTTTTGAGATGAGCCCACTGGAGATGGCAAAGCAGAGGGAGAAGAAGGAGAAGAGCTTGCGCTACAAAATCTCGAAGACCCTTTCGAAAACTTTCTCGAGGAGTACCTCGGTGCTGGACGGCGGAGAGAGTTCTGCAGGTGCTGCAGAGCGGTCAAAGTCGCCCAAGCGGACAAAGTCACCGTCGAGGACAAAGTCGCCGACAAGGCAGAGGGAGGAAGCAGAGAAATCAACGGTAAGTGGTTTTTGTTTTGTAAAACGTTTTTTTTCAATTTAAAAATCGCACCTTTATTAGAAACCTGAACCAGCAAAGACGACGGCGACCTTTTCCTCCTCGACTCCTCTGCAAAGTACCACGACCAGTCGTTCGTACTCCAGCAGCCGGCACAGCACCACCAGCATGATCGGCAGCATCACCCCTCGCTCATACGAGCCCATCTCCACCTATCGGTCCAGTCTGACGGTTTCCGGTCTGGCGCAACTCCGCCAGCCGCCCACTGTCTCCAAATCGAATCTGGCCGTTCCGCCCTCTGTACGGCCTAAAGTTCGCCTTAGAACGGAGACTAATGTATAGCAGTCCTGACCTTGCTTTGTGACCATGTTTCCATCAGTAAGTGAAAAACTGCTGTTTTCATCTGTATAAATGTTCTTCTTCTTCTTGTCCTTCTCATACTTTCCCGTGATCCTCTTGTTAAATATCCTTTTCCCTACTATAATCTCTTCCCTTTCTTCTTCTCCTTCTCCTAGCTCTAGTCATTTCCATTATCATCATCATCATCGTCATCATTTCTTCTTTTGCAACTCTTTTGATGATGGTTGTGTTTTTTCTTCTCTTTTCATTTCTTCTTTTTTGTATTATTTCACTCCCTTTCACTTAATCATCCAAGAGTTACTCTCTTTCACTACCACTAATTTCACTCGACTGTTGCTATTTTCTTTCTATCTTCTATACTCTGTTTTTATCACTTTAATTTAATTGTGGCGATAATTAATTTTGATTTAATGAATTGCTTTATTGATTTTTGTTGTTTCTCATTTTTTTTACAAGCCCTTCTTTCTCCTTCCTCCCTTGTCTAGACGGCCAAACACAAAGACACAGACACAATCAATAGCTGTCAAAAGAAAGCAAATGTTGCAGAAAAGCAGAGGATGCTTTTGTTTTTTCCACTTTGAGGTTTTTAACTTGAAACTGTTTCACTTAATCACAGTTTGTGTCGGCCTTTTTCTGGTACTTTTCACAACTAGGCGAAGACTTTGAATTTTTCATCGAAGAGGACGAAGACGGGTCATTCCACTCTTGAACGTCATTGGAAGCGAAGAGGACGAAAATGGCGCCGGTGAGGAGGTAGACGGCGGCGGCCAGGTAGAAGACGTACTTCCACGCTTGGAGAGACCGTTCTGCCAGATCAACTTTATCACCTCCATCACCCCCATCACCATCAACCCCACCATCAGCCCCAACCACCAGGGAGATAATCTGGCCGACGGCGATCGGAGAGAAGACGCCGGCAAAGGTGGCCAGGCAGTTGGTGATGCCCATCAGCGTGCCGGAGTAGCGGGGGGAGAGGTCGATGTGGGTGCAGCTGTAGCCGGCCATGCTGAGGCCGTTCACGGAGAGGGCCAGCACCAGCAGGAGAATGTTCAGGAGGTGGTCGCGGCCGATGGTGGTGATGGCCAGGAGGCAGGCGGCCGTGCCGGCGAAGGCCATTGAGTTGAAGGCCTTTCGGAGGGTGGCCAGGCGGAAGTGGCCGCTCCGGAAGAGGCGGTCGCAGAGGAAGCCCGCAGAGGTGGCCAGCACTGCCTGGCTAAGGTAGGGCAAGGCGGAGTAGGCGCCGTTCTATAAGGAAAGAAAATGATTTGTAGGTCAGCTTTTAAAAGAAGTTCTCATCCGATACTAACACTCTTTAGATCAAAACCCAGCTCAGCAAAATACCGTGGCATTTGAATGAGCAGCGTGTAGAAACCCCAGTTCTGACCAAAGTGCGTCGCAGCAAGGGCCCACACTGGGCCAGAGGTGGCGATGCTCTGCCAGGGAATGCTTGCCTTCTAAGAAGAGAAGAAATTCTGTTTTAGACCAAAAATTGAGAAAACTAAACACCTTCAAACGATACCTTTTCGCCCGTTCTGCAAGCGCTCTGACATGTCATGAGAAGCATCCTCAACTCCGCCTGGGAGATGGTCGGATGTGACTGGGGCGTCTCCGAGACGAGGTAAAACCACAGCACCGACCACACAACTCCAGCGATTCCAATCAGATAGAAAACCGACGGCCAGCCGCCAAAGAGTCCAAACATCGCAGGGGGCGTGTCGCAGAGGAGCGCACTGAGGGGCAGTGCAATCACCGTGCCAATAAAGCCGCCTGAGTAGATGACGCCCGAGGCGGTGCTCCGCTCCGTGGGCGGGAACCACTTGGCTAGCATTGAGTGGGTAGAAGGGATGACCACGCCCTCGAAGACGCCCTCCAGGACGCGGCATGCGATGAAGGCGGCGCTGCCGCCGAGGCGGGCCGCCAGAGGGCTGGCCACCGTCAGCAGCGAGGTAAAGAGGATGCCGCCGCCGAGGAGCCACTTGGAGCCGAGGCTGTCGGCGAGGCGGCCGCCGGGCAGCTGGAAGAGGATGTAGCCCCAGAAGAAGGAGCCCAGGACGAGGGCTGAGGGGAAAAGGTGAGAAAGATTAAGGAAGGTATTATTAGTTTTTTTCTGAACTTTTTTTCTCACTAACCTTTCGTCTTTTCGTCCCACTCGAACTCTCCTTCACTGTTGAGCGTTTCTAAATCAGGCATGAGCGTTGATGTCGTAGAAGTTTGGTTTAGCCCGCCACTCCTAACCAAACTAGAGCTGTTGGTCATCGTCTTCAAGAGTGGTAAATCAGCTAAGTCTCCGGAAGTCTTCGGCCCTTTGACCATGGAGACGATGGCCACGGAGAGGTTGACGCGAAGGGCGTACAGCATCAGCAGACCAGTGAAGTTGAGCANGCCCGCCACTCCTAACCGAACTAGAGCTGTTGGTCATCGTCTTCAAGAGTGGTAAATCAGCTAAGTCTCCGGAAGTTTTCGGCCCCTTGACCATGGAGACGATGGCCACTGAGAGGTTGACGCGAAGGGCGTACAGCATCAGCAGACCAGTGAAGTTGAGCAGCATTAGGATGTGCCGTTTAGGCGGGGAGCATAAACCTGGAAATGAAGATGAAGAAGAACAATAAAAAAGTGACTGGAGTTACTTGAAGAAATAACTTTTTGACTTACTCGGTTTCAAACTCTTCTTCTGCTGGACAATGAGCTCAATTTGCTGCTCCAAACTTTTTTCGGCTGTTTCCTCGTCTGTGAGGCACATTGAGCTGCATCCGGTGAAGATGTCGGCACTGACTGAAGGTTCTTCATCAACTTCTTCAGGTTTGGCTAATGACCTTGTAACTACCTCAAAATGCCCATTTTTTTCTCCTTCAAGCGGTAAGTTCTTTTTAAGCTTCATTTTCTGGTGAAGGTTTTACTTTTTACTTCACTTAACCACAGTTCATCAACATCTGTCAGCGGCTGCTTATGAAGCTCAACTGATTAGCCCCTAAATGGGACGACCACCACTTTAGACCTCACGTGGCAACAGCTTGTATCAGCAACATGAACAAACAGTCTGGCAAATTTCAACAGCAGTTTCTGGTCTCAAAACTTCACCAGACAGTTGCTATAACTAGTTGCTAGGCAAACTTACCATTTGTCAACTGTCATCTGTCGTTTACGATGCTCACAACCTCTTTCAAACGACCCTTTTGTGACTGACCCTAATCTGTCCTCCAGTGTGTCCAGACGTCCGTTGAGAAAGCAGGTAAACAGAGAGCACCGGAAAAGTAGTGGTCATAAATCGCCGCAATCTCAGCTCAACTGACCACTCACCATCTGTCGTCTGTCATCTGACTGACTGATTGCCGTGTTCTTTGGTGCTCTCCTTTCAAGTGGGTCATCTTGCGGGTAGGTAGGTAAGAGTATCATCACTGAGGCTCACTGCTAATTGCTCTTTAATTAAAATTGCACAGCACAAACACACATATACACTTTTTGATCAGCCAATTAACAGTTCATTTGCCCCTTTCACTCCTTCAGCACTCCTTCTGTTGGCTGTTAGTTAGCCTAATTAGAGGGAGTGAGTGTGTGCCAGTGCACGATTCTCGGTAACTAGAATCCGGATAGCAACCGATCAAACAGAACACTGAGTTTTTCACTTTTTATGTGACATTGTTTTTGTAGCATTCCTTCTGACGGTGCTCTGGAATGTCACAGGCCAACGGTTTCTTGGAACGGAGCAGTTCATTGGAATTTTTTGGACAGATCAAACTTTTTTTATTTAAAAAATTGGTGCGGTAGAGTCATCTAGGGGCGGATTCCTGCACCACTTTTTGTACTCACATTGTACGTACTCTGCGGCAGGCGCTTTGTTTATAACATCTCAAAGAGATTTCGTCACTTCACCTCAGCATGTGAAGGCGGAGAGATTTCGGATTTTCGAAGGAGTTTTTTGCTATCTTCTTTTGCCTTATATGTTTTTTGAGGCGTCACCTACCCATCACCTTCACATGGTTATCAGTATTAGTAATTGGTGAACGAAAATGGTGAATATTTGCTACCTGTGCAACAAGGGTGAAATCATCCCCGACAAGAAGCTGTCAGGTCGTTTTTGCACTGGCTGCGGGGAGTGTTTTGACATTGGCGCGTTTACCGATGAAATTCAGTACCGAGAGGATGACCGGGGACGGTACACTGCCGTCGGTAATACCTACAACGTCGATAAGGGCTTCGTTAACAGGTAATTTTCAGGATTTTTTGTTTACCTTTGTTTCTGTGCTGACAAATGCACTGATTTACTCATTTTGCAGTAAGTTTGCGAACCACGCCCAGCTGATGAGCTCGGTGGAGAATGCCCGTTCAATACTCAAACGATACTGCGACAAGCTGTACATCAGCGAAGCCTTTTCAAAGCGGGCCAGTGAGTTCTACAAACAGCTGCTCATTAAGAAGTTCATGAACGGGCGTCGACTGAACGTGGTGCTCGCCGCCTGTCTCTACATTACCGTGCGATCAGAGGGCGCCAATGTCATCATTCTGGACATCAGCGACGTTTCCGAGGCAAACGTTTACGAAATCGGCCGTTACTACTTTCAAATTGTCAAACTACTTCACGTCAACATTCAAACGGTCGACCCAAGCGAATATACGATGCGATTCGTTGATATGCTTCGAATTGGTACGACCTTTTTTGTTTTCGTATTGGTGTGACTAACCACTCTTTTTTCGTTCCATTTACAGGTAACCGAGACCTGCCTCAAGTCAAGCGAACTGCCATTGTCATTCGAGACACTGCAAACAGACTGGTGCAACGCATGAAACGGGACTGGATCCACTATGGTCGCCGACCATCGGGAGTGTGCGCCGCGGCGGTGCTCGTCGCCTGTCGCATCAACAACGTCAGCTGCACCATCAAGGACATCATCTCCATTGCGAAGGTGTGCGAGTCGACCATTCGCAAGCGCATCAACGAGTTCGCCCTGACGCCCTCTGGAAAGCTTACCCATAAGGAGTTTATGGACAAGGAGCTGGAGGAGGAGGCAGATCCACCCTCGTACAAGACGAACGACTCCACCATCAGCAGCTCACTGGAAAAGAACCTAGAAAAGGCCGAAAAGTTTCAGCAGTACATTGAAGATAAGCTGAAGGACTCTCGACCTAAGCTGAATGGCGCGTATGCAAAGTTTCTGAAGGAAGTCCTTTCTACTGAACCGGACGGTGCTGGTGTTAAGGGGGTTGGTGAATCTCTTGACGATGAGAAGCAGCTTATCAATGAAGCTATCTTGGACCAAAGTATCTTTGCGTTCGATAAGAGTGTCGAAGACAGCAGAGAGCAACCAAGTGAATTAGATTTATTACGACAATTTTCCAACGATACGGGCAACCCCTCTACCGAGGAGATTGAATTTTGGGCCAAGGCACGTCCGTCAGCGGAAAGCTTAGGTATCTGCTTCATTTTTTTGACANCGGGCAACCCCTCTACCGAGGAGATTGAATTTTGGGCCAAGGCACGTCCGTCAGCGGAAAGCTTAGGTATCTGCATTTATTTGACACATTTTCTTGCAGCGTTTAACGCAATTTTACTTTTATTTGCAGGTCTCTTGAAAAAAGAATATCCCGATGATAATGACGCTGACAAAACAAATTACGATGACCTGTTGAGTGAAGAGGTGAATGAAGCTGATCTTGGCTTTGAAGAAGGACAGCTGTATGTCATTAGCAATGAAGCCGAGTCAAGCCATCGACAGTTTGAGTGGAACTTGGTCAACAAGGACTACCTCAAGCAGGTGGAGGAGGAGAACCTGAAGCGTGCAAATGAAGATCCAAATGCTCCAAACAAAAGAGTAAATTTTTTCTTGCATTTTTGGTAAAAAATGCTTAACATATCTTGGTTTTTCTTTTGGTGTAGAAAAAGAAGCGCCGACGAGCTGCAGAAGCCCAGGTGGAGGCCTCCACTACCAGCGAAGCTGTTGAGGCTGCCTTCAAAGTCAAGAACATCAACATTGACGGCGTCAACTTGAAGGAACTTTTCAATGAGGAGGAAACCGATGTGAAATAGAGAATTACGACACACTTGGACTAACCACATTTTATTTTGTTTGTATTTTTAGTGCACACTCTTTTATTTTGTCATATACTACTACTGGCTGTTCTCTTTTGATACCCCACCCTAGGACTGATTCAATAAATCCCCGGTATTTAGTTTTGGTGATCAGATCGTTGCTGCAAAATCAATGATGGTGCCATTGGTCACTTTAGTGCAATCGCTCGAGGAGAGAAATGGATAGACAAATCTCTTGAGAGTTTCTACTGACTGCAATCCAATTCAATCCTCTC